GCAAGGCCAGGCTGCTAGTGTAGGGCCAGTTAGACTGTTTAAGGGATTTATTTCCCTAATGAGGTTTGTGGCTCTTCTGCAATTCACATAGTCTATCAGTGGGCTTTTGGTGAATCAGCTCTCTTTGAGTCATTTATGCTCCTGTAAGTAACTGTTCACCCATGTTCCTGTAAATAATCCCAATAAAACTCATTGGTTCACCAAGTTGGACTCTGTTGGTAGCCCTGCTTTGGTGTGTCGTTGGTTCCCTATCTGGGGTGCATAAATATTTATATCTTTACAGGAATAGTGTCACACAACATCATCTTAATGCAGTAATGCAGCTGCAGTCAGGGGACTGAAGTTGGTGTGTGTCATCAAGCCTATTTAACACTTCATTTCACTGCATGCCAAGTGCCATGTCAGAGGACACAGAGATGAAAAAACATTGTCTGCTGTTGTTCTACTCAGGTGAAAGGATTACAGATCACCACCACACACATAGGCCAATTAAAAGGAAAAGGAGTCCTTTATTGATAACTGATAAGTACATGTGCAGCTGAGAGTGGCTGGTGCCTTTGAGATTCTCTAGTGCTGAAGCTCAGGGGTAGAGTTTATAAAGGCAAAACCTGCAAAAATCCCAAGTTTGGACTAGATGGAGGTCAGAGAGATCTTGCTACAGTCATTATTTGGGTTTTACATTAGCAGTTGTTTTGGTTATATTTCTAGGCCATAGTCTGGGTTGTGAAAAGCCCTAAATGTGTTGCTGGGGGATGCTAGTGGCTGGAAGAATGCCAAAGCAGACACAACCTGGAGTCAGGACTGCCCAGGACAAAATGGAGTTTTTTCTGCTACTACACTGTCAAGTCTAGTGGCAGGACAGGGGTAGGGCTTGGGAGGAGATGGACTTGGGAACACATGCTTACAGCTAGGTTAAGTATATAAAGTTAAATATTTGAACACGCTAGTATAGAATTACACACAAAGCAAGGACTGATTCTGTCTGGAATGACTTTTCTAATGCCTTCTGTTATAAATGGGAATTTTATCTGCTATGTTTGCAATCACTTATCACTATGTATTCAATCTGCCTTCCTATATAATCAGCTTGTTTAAATTTAACTAGCCTTTAGGAAAACAATAAAAACAATCTTACTAGGCCTTGGGCTCCCCATGTAACCAACTTTTACAGGCTAAGTTTAACACAGGTTTAATCTTAAATTATGTTCCTCATTTCAACCTCATGATTCTTCCTTGCCCTGACCCAGAATAATGTGCATGCAGGTGCGTGCATGCGTGTGTTGATGATATCTCTGGAGGCAGCAATGTTGCCCACATTGTTATAAAATACATGTGGGCTTATGCTGACACCACCTTTTTGTGGTTTTGTATGCTGCTTTGGGTCAGTAGTGGTCAGACAAGGCAAACTTCCTCATTCCTTTCCTGTATCATGCTGACTGTTTAAATAAATGCAGAGAAAGTCCTTTGTTGGAGGAACAATTCTAAGAGAAATCAGAAAAGAACAGCTCTGAGAACAGATTGGGCTCACTCTCAGCTTAAATGTCTCCAGGAGTTTAGTCTCTCTTGGAACGGGCACTGTTGTATTGTGGCATCCGCCACAAGAACGAGGTTACACTTAAAGTTTGTAGGGGAGATGAATAGCCTAAGCAAGGTGGGATAGATATTTCTGGCAAGGAGTCCAACATATACTAAGGCTTACAATACAGAAAGCACTAGTACACTTATACACAAAGCAACCCTAAAAATCAAAATGTTGCAGAACTCTTTTTCCCTGAGGGCTTGTCTCTTGTCCCAGTTTGCTTTCTGTTGTGATAAACACCAGGACTGAAAGTAAGTTGGAAAGGAAAGGGTTCCTTTCAGCTTACAGGTCATAGTCCATCATCCAGGGAAGCCAAGGCAGGAGCCTAGAGGCAGGAATGGAAGCAGAGCCCATGGAGGAATGCCACTTACTGGCTCACACTTCCCCGAGCCTACTCAGACACCTTTCTTATGCAGCCCAGGCTCACCTGGCTAGAGATGGCATTGCCCCCAGTGGACTGCCCCTGCCAACACACACATCAGCTAGCAATTAAGAAAATGCCTAGCTGGGCATGGTGGCACACGCCTTTAATCCCAGCACTCAGGAGGCAGAGGCAGGAGGATCTCTGTGAGTTCAAGGCCAGCCTGGTCTACATAGTGAGTTCCAGGACAGCTGGGGGCTACAGGGAGACCCTGTCTCAAAAAAGGCCAAAAAAAAAAAAAAAAAGAAAGAAAAAGGAAAGAAAAGAAAATGCCTCACAGACATGGTCACAGTCCATTCTGATCTGGGAAATTCTTCAGTTGAGATTCCATCTTCTCAGGTGACTCTTGTTTATGTTAACAAAAAATTAACCAGCACATCTCTCAAACATGAGGAATGAAACACAAAATGCATAGAGAGGATTTTATTGAGTGAAAGACAGAAGAAAGCAAGCTCTCTGCTAATGGGGAGGGATCTCAAACAGGTTTTCCAAATCAGGAGTCAAGTTCAGTATGCTTTGAGGTAGAAAAAAATGGGCAGATTGCATACATTAATAACTTAAAAAACAACTTGGAGGTCATCCACAGCATAACAGAGTCTGGCCATTGTCCGAGCAGACCAGTCAGAGCCAGGACCTGTGATACTCATTGAACATATGCATGGGGAAGTTCGGGGAAGGAAGCATAGTGCTTAAATCAGCTCAGTGACAGTGTATCAGCTGGGGGTCTTTTATGGTCCTATAATTAAGCCCAATAAACTCACTGGTTCACCAAGCTAAACTTGGGGGGAATAGTTACTTTGGTCTGTCATCAGGGAGAGTAGGCATTTGTTCACATCTCCACAGGAAAAGTTAGCCCAACGAGTCAGAAGAGGCCTCTAGTTAGTGTGTTCACAGGCTGAGCCACACCCTGCCCCATTCTCAGCTGAGGAACCTTGTCCTCTCCTGGTCTTCACTCTTCCAGGAAATAATTCCAAGGTGTTAGCCAGGCACCCCTCCTTCACTGTGATGTCCTAACTGTAAAAGCTCTGTGTAGGTGGGGAGAGAGAAGTGGGACAGGATGAGGGTATGCCCAGAGGCCTGAATATTTAAAGTGCAATTGTCTGTCTCTGGAAGTCCACAGGAAGGGTAGGCATCAGTGCCTAGCTGGCACTCACCTATTCTGAGCCTTAGACTCTTGCTGGCTCCGGGAAGATGAGAGTCACTAAATCCCAACAAGCCCAGGCAGAAATGGAGCCACCCTCCACCCCAAGAATCAGGCCTGTGGGTCACACACTGAGTCTTGTTATTTCTCAGGGATGGCCTTTACCAACTCTACTCCCAGGCCCTTGCATGACACCTTCACAACACCTGCTTTCTCCTTTAAAGTATGCACTACAGTTGGAATTATACATAGATTAGTCCTGTCGTTCTCTCACCCCACCAATCTAGAAACTGCCAAGCCTGGTGAGAGCTTTGTATATTTCCTTCTCTGAAGTGTTTCCAGACCCCAGGCACACTCAATAAAGGCCTCAGATGAATGAATGCATGAATGAATGAAGTGATAGGGATAGGGGAAGTGATAGAGGCTGTTACCATAGATTCTCTTTTACAGGCAATAAAACAGGTCCAGACAGACAGGAAGCTGGAGCTGCTCAGCAGCAGTGCAGGTGTCTGCCTCCTGGTCCAGTTCCTACAGTGAGAGGGCCCAAGAGCATAGGGCCACACCCAGGGGGCCTCTGCAGTCTCATCCTCATCCAGTTCCTACTCCACTCCTCAAGGGAACTGCAGACTCAGACTCCAGTCCTACAAACAAGACTAGCTCCTAGGAAAGGCTCTTAGGGCAGGAGTAGGGGCAAGGGACAACCTATTAGCAATTAACCAACAGCTAGCTATTAAGAATAATAGTACTCAGTCGGGCATGGTGGTACACGCCTTTAGTCCCAGCACTGGGGAGGCCAGGGCAGGCAGATCTCTGTGAGTTCAAGTCCAGCCTGGTCTACATAGCAAGTTCCAGGCCAGCTGGGGCTACAGGAAGACCCTGTCTCAAAAAGATGGAAAAAAAAAAAAAGAATAAGAATAATAGCACTTTAGCCGGGCATGGTGGCTCAGACCTATAATCTCAACACTTAAAAGGTAGAGGGAGGTGGATCTCTGTGAGATTGAGGCTAGCCTGGTCTACATAATGAGTTCCAGGCCAGCTGGAGCTACAGGGAAGACCCTGTCTCAACAAATTAAATTAACAATAAAAGGGCTGGAGAGATGGCATAGTGGTTAAGAGCACTGACTGCTCTTGCAGAGGACCTGGGTTCAATTCCCAGCACCCATATGGCAGCTACGCACGGTTCTTAACTCCAGTCCCAGGGGGATCCGACGCCCTCTTCTGACCGCCGCAGCATTGCACGACACAGGTGCACTCACATACATGCAGGCAATACACTCATACACATAAAATAAAAATAAATAAAATATTAAAAAAACAATAGTAATAATAGCATTTCCAGTGTACAAGTTCTTATAGATGAAGAAACGTGCACAGCAAACTTAAGTGGTTTACTAGGGACAGTGGCAGAGCCCAGGTACACAAGAGGGGCAGTCAGGCTCAGTCCAGTGGAGCTGCCCATGTGCAGCGCTGCAGACCATAGCAGCAGGCCTTCCCGCTCTTGTGTTCTAGCCCTGAGTGCCCGCTGACCTGGCATCCACTTGGATCATTAACAGAAGCTAGTCCATAGGGTTGTTGGAAGATAATACATCAAGTTTCTGGGTTCAGCACATAGTAAGTGTTCAATAAACGTTAATTATTGATATTCTTGTTATTATTTTGAGTGTTTCTGGGCTGGGGGGGTAGGGCTGCAGGACGGTATCTTTAGACCCTGTACAGGTGAGGTCATCCAGCGATATGGGGCCCCCGGGGATCCCAACCCGGCCACGCCCACCCAGAGCACTGAGTGTCACAGGTTTGGAGAGTTCTCATACTCCGCCCCTTCAGGCTTTAACTAGGAACGCTGGGGGCGGGCGCAGGCGCAGACAGCACAAACAGGCCAGCGGCGGGAGCCAGGGGCACTGCCAGTCGGCCGCAAATCCCTACGCGCACGCTTATGGAGGGGCGCGCGAGCCCTCCTGGCGCATCCCGCAGCCTCCCCACCGTGGCCGTGCTGTTCCGCGGCCCCGTGGAGCCGATCGTCTTCCTGGCCAACTTTGCCTTAGTCCTGCAGGGTCCTCTCACCACGCAGTATCTGTGGCACCGATTCAGCACCGAGCTTGGCTACAATGGCACCCGCCACCGGGGCAACTGCGGGAACCAGAGCGATGATCCCATCATGAAGGTAGTGGGGACACCAGCAGCTGTGAACTTGGATCGTGGAGAGGGCCCTGGACTTTCGGGGGCCACGGAGGGGGAGGGGCAGTGGAAAGGGGACGCCTGTGGGGTGTCAGCAAGGGGGCGGGACTGCTGGGGCTGGAAGCATTGGGGTTCAGGCTGTGGATCTAAAGAAAGCCGGGCCTGGAGGGATAACAGACATGGGGAGATGGAGGGGAGTGGGCCTTGGTCACTTTCCCGCTGCTTCTCCAAGGCAAGTTGTATAGAGTCTATGATGCGTAAGGCTTCAGGGAAAGACCTCAAATTTGTAGCTCCCAGGATGATGGTGATAGACCACTAGAGTGAGGACCTGCTCCTTGGACATTGTGTCTTCCCAGGAAGTGGAGACCCTGACTTCCCACTGGACCCTCTACATGAATGTGGGTGGCTTCCTGGTGGGTCTCTTCTGGTCTACCCTGCTGGGAGCCTGGAGTGACCGTGTGGGTCGCCGCCCGCTGCTGGTGCTGGCCTCTCTAGGCCTGCTGCTCCAGGTCGTCGTGTCCATCTTCGTGGTGCAGCTGGAGCTCCATGTCGGCTTCTTCGTGCTGGGTCGTGTCCTTTGTGCTCTTCTGGGAGACTTCAATGGCCTCCTGGCTGCTAGCTTCGCCTCAGTGGCAGATGTCAGCTCTCAGCGCAGCCGCACCTTCCGGATGGCGGGACTGGAATCGTGTATTGGTGTGGGAGGAATGCTAGCAAGCCTCCTTGGGGGTCATTGGCTCCGAGCCCAGGGTTACGCCAATCCCTTCTGGCTGGCCTTGGCCTTACTGATCTTCATGACTCTCTACGCAGCATTCTGTTTTGGTGAGACAGTGAAGGAGTCAAAGTCTACCCGGCTTTTCACACTCAGGCACCACCGATCCATTGTCCAGCTGTATGTGGCCCCCGCCCCACAGAAGTCTAGGAAGCATTTAGCCCTGTACTCCCTGGCTATCTTTGTGGTAATCACGGTGCACTTTGGGGCTCAAGACATCCTGACAGTCTATGAGCTGAGCACGCCCCTTTGTTGGGACTCCACGCTGATTGGCTATGGCTCCGCAGCTCAGAACCTACCCTACCTCACCAGCCTGTTGGGCCTGCGACTTCTGCAGTACTGCCTGGCCGACACCTGGGTGGCTGAGATCGGCCTGGCCTTTAACATGGCTGGGATGGTGGTCTTTGCTTTCGCCATCACCACACCCCTCATGTTCACAGGTAAAGTGTGTGGGCTGAGGGATAGCTAGTCCCAGAGGTGCCTGGATGAAAACCGAGGTCAGCCTCTCATTGCCCCCAAATGTGGTTGGAGCCTGTCACAGTCCACACAGAAGACAAACAACTAAGAAACCTCAGAAAAAAATACCATCCTTTGATATACAAAGAAATATAGAGCTTCCATGACCAAAGTAATTAATGCATATCATCAACCATAAATATTGTTAACAATGTAGAGCAAAAGACAAAAGCATGGCTCAGACGCTAATTGCTTCACCCCTTGGCCTCCCATAGCTTATTCATGGTGTTCTTAAGCAAAGTCCATGCTATTAATATCTTGATTCTTAGTTCCCCATAAGAATCACAGGACTGGGGCTAAAGAAGTGGCTCAGTGGTTAAGAACACTGACTGCTCTTGCAGAGGTCCCAGGCTCAGTTCCCAGCACTTATATGGTGGCTCATAACCATCTGTAACACTAGTTCTAGGGGACCTGACACCCTCTTCTGACCTCTGCAAGCATTACACATACATGGTGCACTTATATACATGCAGGCAAAACATTCATAAACCAATTAATTAATTAAATTTTTTTAAAAAAGAATCATCAGGTGCATTGGTGTGCACCTTTAATCCCAGCACTCAGGAGGCAGAGGCAGAGGCAGGCAGATCTCTGTGAGATCAAGGCCAGCCTGATCTACACAGTGAGTTCGAAGCCAGCTGGGGCTACAGGGAGAGCCTGTCTCAAACAAAAAAATAATCATAGGACTTCCCTCAAAGATCTTACTTATTTTGAAGCTCACATAAATCAGGCTGGCCTCAGACTTTCTAAGTAACCAAAAATGAACCTGAGTTTTTTATCCTGCCTTCACTTCCCAAGTGCTATGATTACAAATGTGTACCGCCATGCCCAGTTTTTACAGTGCAGGGGACTGAATCCAGGGCTTCCTGAATGCTAGACAAGCACTCCACCAGCTAGCTGAGCTGTACTCCCAGCCCTCCCTCACATATCTTAGTTTCTTTGAGTTTTAGAATTATTATTTATTTATAATGATGATTTTTTTAGACAATTTAGTTCTATTTTATGTGTATGAGTGTTTGTCTGCATGTATATATGTATACCACATGCATGCAGTGCCCACAGAGACCAGAAGAGGGTGTCAGATCCTCTGGAAATGGAGTTACAAATGGCTGTGAGCTACTGTGTGGGTGCTGGGAACTGAATCTGGGTCCTCTGCAAGAGCAACAAGTGCTTTTAACCATTCAGCCATCTTTTTAGCCCCATGTTTTTGTTTTGTTTTGTTTGTTTGTTTTGAGATAAGGTCTCACTATGTAGCCCTGGCTGGCCTGGAATTTGCTATGTAGACCAGACTGGCCTAAAACTCACAGAGATTCACCTGCTTCTGCCTCTGAGGTGCTGGGTTTAAAGGCTTGCACTACCAGGCCTGGCCCATGATTGTTTTTTTGATGCAGCATCTCATATAGCTCAGGCTGGCCTGGAACTCACTATTTAGCCAAGGATGACCTTGTACTCCTAATCCTCCAGCCTCTACCTCCCAAGTGCTGGGATTATTGGTGTTAGCAACCACATTCTGCCTTCTTTTTTTTTTTTTAATTAAAAAAATTATTTATTTTTTGGTTGCTTTTGAGGTAAGGTCTCACTATGTAGTCCTTGCTGGTCTAGAACTCGCTATGTTGAACAAGCTGGCACTGATCTCAAAGAGATCCACCTGCCTGCTTCTGCTTCCTGAGCACTGAACTTAAAGGTGTGTGCCATCACACATGACTCTTTGTTTTTTGGTTTTTTTAAAGGCCAAAAGATCTAAAGTTCCTGTTTACTCAGTTTGTTCCCTCTTCCTTTCCTTTTCCTTTCCCTTTTCTCTCCCTGTCTGCTGCTGCCACCTCCCCCTTCTAACCTCTTTCTTCTCCTCCTCTTCTTCCTCTCTATTGTTCCCCACCCCAAAGGCATCTGGCTACAGAATGAAGAAGTTAATTTTCTAAAAGGGACAAATTTATTTTCATAGAGCCCTAAACTGTTGCGTATAGTCAGCTGTTTAATAACATATTCCTTTTTTATTTATTTTTATTTTATGAGTGTTTTTGTCAGCATGTGTGTAAGTGCATCCATGTTGTGCAAAGCCAGTGGAAGCCAGAAGAGGGCGTTGGATCCCTTGTAACCAGAATTTTGGACGATTGTTAGTTGCCATGTGGGTGTTGGGAACTGAGCCCAGGTCCTCTGAGAGCAGCCAGTGCTCTTAACTGCTGAGCCATCTCTCCAGCCCTGTATCCGGTTTCTTAACTCAGCTGCTTAGCTGGCAGTGAAACTGAAGACACCGGGTACTTTTCACTCAAAGCCATGGTCCTTGGCAGTGCCAAAATGATGAGAATGCTGTTGCTCCAAGAAGCCTCAACAGAATTAGATTTGGGAGATCCTGACACCTGAAGGGCTCTTGGGTACCTCATTATGTATTCACCTTGGAGGATCCACTGTTTTCTAGGAATTTAAGGTTTTTGTCTAGGAGACAACAGGCACAAAAGGGAGTAGAATGGTTATAAAGGAAACTGTGCCTGCAAGTAGCTGAATATGAAAGAAAAGGAGCTCACATTTGCTAAGCCCTTACCGTGCTACACCCCTTCATAGATGTACCTCTTTATCCCATGTATTAGTTCCCCAAGGTGACTGAAAAAGTGCCACACACTGGGTGGCTTAAACAGCAGAGATGTATTCTCTTTCAGTTCTGGAGGCCAAAAGTCCAAGATGAGTGTCACTAGTCTCAAATCAGAGTGTCATGGTGCAGTGCTCCCTGCAAGGGCTCTGGGAGAGAAACTGTTTCCACCTGTTCCAGCGTCTGCTGCAGTGGCCTTCCTCTACTCCTGACCAATTCATCAGTCTTGTAGTCTGTGGTCACATTGCGTTTTCTCTCTCTGCTTCTCTATTCTGGCTGCATCAGACCTTCCTCTCCCTTCTTCATCAAAGGGTATATGTGATTGCATTAGGGGCCAACCTGATAATCCAGGGAGATCTTCTATCAAGAGTCTTCCTGTAAAGACCCATTTTCCATGAAGGACACTGTTTACAGACTTCAGGGTTTAGGGCCTGTTTTGGGGTTGTTACTGAACTTGCTACACTGGAGGAACCATCCTGTGATAAAGGTCTTATGTTCTTATAGACTGGGAGGGTTCAGGGAGGTCAGTTAGCCAAGGTCACACACACATAGTAGGCAGTGACACCAGGGTTTGAACTCAGGGCAGACTCCAAAGCTCATGCTCACTTTCTGGGTCCTACCATCTTATTTAAGTTGATGAGTAGGTGGTGCTAAGTAGCCATTAGCCATATTCTGGGGAAACAGTCAGTGGGTCTTAGCACTCATTCAGAAAGAGCTAGCAGATAGGCGAGCCTGGAGAAAGGCTCGCTTTCCTCCCTGGTTTATCCTCCCCTGCTTCACCGTCAAGGAAAGTCTTCCTGGGTCTAGTCTCAGTCCCACCTGGGGCATGTGTGGGAGCTCTGTTGCTCTCAGGAGGATGGCCCCCTTTGACCCCTCTTTCCCAACTAGTGTTTCTTTCTTTACAGGGTACGGCTTGCTGTTTCTGTCATTAGTCACCACACCTGTCATCCGGGCCAAGCTCTCCAAGCTGGTGAATGAATCGGAGCAGGGTGAGTATCAGGGTCAGTCTACAACTGTTCCTTCATACCCAGCATTGCCTCAACAAGTACCTGGGTGGCTCTGGCCAAGGAGAGCCTGCCTCTAACCCTCTCACTTGGAGAAGTGGCCAAGACAGATGCACTTCTGTCACATATCCAAGGCTGACAAGGAACTGATGCTGTGGATTTTTGTATCAGGAATCTGGATCGCAGTCAACAGAACATGACTGAGTTCTTTCTAGGTGACCCCAGCAGAGGTTTCATCTCAGACCTCAGCTCTCATATCTATAAAGTAGGTGTGATGGTACCAGACTTCCCTACTTCACTGAGGTCAGGGTCTAGCCCAAAGGAAATAAATAACCTGTGCCATAGGTTTCATTGTCCCCAATGGGCAGATGAAGAAACCGAGGCCTAAAGGATTAAATTGGTGCTGCCAAGGTTGTTCAGTAAATGGTAGAGCTGGAATGTATACTCAGGGCTGTTTGTTGTGGGATTTTTTTAATGTGTAATATGCATGCATTGTATATGTGTTCATATAGTATGTGGGTGCAGAGATTGACATCAGCGGTCTTGATTGTGTTCTGCCTTGTTTACTGAGGCAGGCTTTCTTACTGCACCTGGAGCTTGCTGATTTGGCTAGTGTAGCTAGCCAGCTTGTCTGGTGGGTCCCCTGTCTCCACTTCTCTATCTCCACTGGGATTACAGGCGACCACCATGCCCACCCAGCTTTTATATGGGTTCTGGCCACCCAAACTCCATTCCTTATGTTTGCACTGCAGATGCTTTATCCACCGAGCCATTGTCCCTTTATCCCCTCCCCGCCCCATGTCTGTTTTTAAGAGCGGTGGGTCCTGACTCTGTTCTGGACCCATTTCCTTATCTGTGACACAGGCATTTGTTCCTGATGACACTTGCAGGGCAGGCCCTTCTAGCTCTGGCAGTGTGACAGTTGTAGCTCAGTTTCTATCGGGTTGCTCAATTTTGCAAGCTAGGTTCTGCTGGCTTCACTATTAAAAAAATATATAGATCTAGGTCCTTATACTCCAGTGTGGGAACATCTGTCATCAGACCCTGGTGCTGTACACAGCCCAGCATAGGCTCTGGCACCTGTTAAGATGTTTCACTCATTCACTCAATGCACTGTATTGTTTTTGTTTATTTCTAGACAACTTCTTGCTGAGTAGCCCAGGCTGACCTTGAACTCACAATCCTCCTACCTCAGCTTCCAGTGTGCTGGGATTACAGTTGTGTGCCACTACACTGGGCTCAATAAGCTTCCCTCACCCTTCCCAGCACTTTTCACTGTTCCTAGAGATGTCAAAAGAATAGCCTCCTCTAGGAGGCCACCTGTGGCAGGTGCTGTTCATGGGAGCCTAAAGTTGCTGACAGTCCCTAAAGTAGCTGTTGCCTTATTTCAAGAGGAAAGCAGCAACCCTGAAGGATAAGCCCCTCAGTGAACAGAGCTGTGACTGTTGGAAGTAGGGATCAAACAGTGATTCTAGCAGAGAAGCCCACCAGGCTTTCATTAGAAGGCATCATATGTAGGACCAGTAAGATGGCTCGGCAGGCAGAAGCACTTGCCACCAAGCCTGATCACCTGAGTTCGATCCTAGGGACCCACATAGGAGAGAGAACAGACTTCCAAAAACTTGTCCTCTGACCCTAGCATGCATGCTGTGGCACAAGTGTACCCACAAATAAACACAATAAAAATTTTAAAAAGAGCTCATCACGTGTAGCCGAGCAGAGTGGTACATGTCTATCATCCTAGCACTCAGGAGGCTGTGGCAGGAGGTTTACAAGTTCAAGGGCAGCCTGAGCTGCATAGGGAGACTGAGTCTCAAAATAAAGCAAACCAGGGAGTCGGAGAGAGCTCAGCAGTTAAGAGCACTGGCTGTTCTTGCAGAGGACCATGGTTCAGTTCCCAGCACCCGCATGGCGGCTAACTCCAGCCATCTGTAACTCCAGTTCCACGAGATCTGATGCTGCCTTCTGACCTCTACCAGCATTGCAAAACATGGGTGCACTTACATGCATACAGGCAAAACACTCATATACCTAAAATAAAAATTATAAATAAAACACAAAAAAATAAACCAAACTGAAAATTTTGAAAAGGTATCACAGACTTACTATAATGTTAATGACAGTCATTTTTCAAACACCCTCTGCCAGTACTTTCCATGTATGGCTGCACTGAGTCTTTATCACAACGCTGACACTCAAGGTGAGGGAGGGGAGGCTCAGAAAGGCCCAGTGCCTCATCCTGGGTCACATACTGTGAGGTTGTGCCACCTCGATGTAACTTTGGATGTTTCAAACTCTGAAGCATAGTGCTTTTTTTCCTCACAGGAGCTCTCTTTTCTGCCGTGGCCTGTGTGAATAGTTTGGGGATGCTGATGGCCTCCGGCATCTTCAACTCACTCTACCCAGCCACCCTGAACTTCATGAAGGGCTTCCCCTTCCTTCTCGGAGCTGGCCTCCTCTTCATCCCAGCCATTCTCATTGGGTAATTGAGGGTCCTGACCTTGCCTCATCATGGAGCCCTTTTTCGTAGGGTTCCTCTTTCTCCTGCTCCTAAGCAGAAATGGCAGCTTCATTCCTGGAACCCTTGTCCTTTGGGAGTCTCATCGGCCTAACCCTACTCCTGTGTAGATGGCTGCCTATTCTTTCAGAGCCATCCCCAGGGAAGAGTGGACGGGCCTGTGGGTAGGGATCAAGCTAACACTGCCACCAAGTCTGTCTTCTCTGCCAGGCCTCCTTGGCCCTTTCTGTCCCCATAGGACTGTGGCAGCCAAACTGTGTTAAGAGAAAGCTCAGGCTAGTGACCCACTGAAGTCCTGGGCGTTCTTCTCCAGAGTCATCCACCCCTGGACATTGTCAATTGCTGGTCCGCTTGGGGAGGGAGACACCTAGACTTTCCCTCCCAAGTCAGTCCTCTGCCAATTCTCCAGACAGAGTTGGGGGCTCCCCATGTCAGTTCTGACCCTTCTTTCTGGTCTCTCACAGGGTATTGGAGAGGATTAATCCTCACCCTGAATTTCAGCAGTTTCCTCAGAGCTCCTGATCTGCCAGAGGCCATGAGGAGCAGTGGACTCACACCAACTGTTCATCTGCACCTCGAGCCCTGTGCACAGCAGCACCAGCTACCCCTCTTGTGGGCAGTGCTCACTTTGGACGAGGTAGTCAAGCAAGTTCTGGGCAATGCCTGGTTCCCCACTAAGGCAGCCCCCGCCTAGAATCTGGAGTCTAATCTACACAGGCCCACTCCAGGGCAGGCTTCTGGGAGCCATTTGAGGCAGAGGTCTCTTCACCCTTTGTACATTCATCACTCAGAATCCTCTGGGGCAAAGAAGATGACACTTAAGGGACCTAATGACCCATGAAGGCTGGAATCTCTCCTTTCATGTACTAGGTCCCTGATGTGTACAGCAGCCACCAGTCACTCCTTAATGACAACTATGGTACCTGGTTATTGCCAGCCTCTGAGGGAGAAGTTTGGGTCCCTTCAGAGGGAGAAGCTGCTATCTGTGGTCCAGAATCAGCCCTTGACCACAGCCTATTCACCTTTGATCTCAGCAGTGCTAATTGTCAAAATAAATCATTTGAATCAGACTGAAAAGGCACAGGCCAGAGCCCTTAAGCTGCCCTGAGGTTGGTACTGGGTGTGACTTTCCAAGCCCTGTTTGACTCCCCTCTAAGCTACTGAGGGTTTTGAAAGGCTTGTCAGGCTTGATTAGGCCAGTGGAGACACTTGGGCCTGAGTCCTGGCTGTCCCTTGCTGAGGGTCAAACAATCCACTCCCAAGGCACCTGGTCCGGTCTTCATGGCTACACCAGCCAGGCAAGATCTGTTTTGGCTGCAGTTCAGCCCTCCCACATTGCCCAGTGCTGAGCAGGGCTGTATACTGAGACCATCCTTCATCTGTCCCAGAATGGAAATGGGAGCCAGTTCTGGGAGACTGGGAAGGTCTGGACCCAAAACTGAAAGGCAGGATTTTATTTAACATAATAAGGACTGGAAGTCCCCCTAGCAAACCTAGCAGGTGGTTCTTGACTCTTCAAACCAGAACCGCTCTTGAAGGCTGAACCTTGCTGCTCTTTTTCTTACCTGCTTTGCAAGCCAGTTTCTTGGCTAGAAATCATGTAGGTGAAACTGAGGTAACCCAGGACAAATTAGAGTCCAGTGGATCTCTGCATGTCCACCCTGCTTCCAGACTCCTGCCTCACTGTCCTGCTGTAGCTGGGAGGCCTAAGCAAGGAGAGGTCCTCCACTGACCCTGCCACCATGAGACTGTGAGTGGGGGAAGGCTCTACTCCAGCACGGGATGACCTTGAGCAAACCTTCTAGGGAAAACTGGATCAGCACTACCCCAAACTCCAGTCATAGGAACCACACTTACTTGGACATGTTGAGAAAGCACCATTGTTGGATGCTTTAAGATCTCAGCTTCACACATCCCAGAGTGAGATGCCTGGTGGAGGAATGGATGGTGGCCAGTTTTAGCCTTTGAATGTCTCTGAGCAGTTCAGAGAGGAATGGGTGACTCAGGGGTTAGGGACTGCATTGACTCAGCCCCAGCTTGGGAGCAGCAGCTCTAGAAGACCAGTCAGACCAAAAACCCTGACCCTACAGATCATATCAGAGAAGGCTCTAGGGAAGGGCTACTTCAGAGCCCTGTCTCAAGATTAGTTTAGTTGGCCATGCCTTGTAGAAAGTAAGGCCCAGCACTGGCTCTGCCAACAATCTGAGCAGTGTCTCACCACAGAACACTACCTGGCTGGGAGAGGCTTGACACCAGCTAGTGTCTATGGCAGGAAGCTGGACTCTCATCATCTAGGTGGACAGGAGGGAAATAGGTCAACAGAAGGTCAGACTAGAGGTACACAGCAGTGGCATGTGTCTCTTCTTGAGTACTGCCCATGGAGACCTCAGGAGAGTATGGGATTGGAGACAAAAAACAGCAGCCCCTGGGGGAACATGTATACTGTATTATTATTGAGTCACAGAGTCTGTCATTGAGGACACCATCCCATTGCCTTACCTCACCCTTTGCAACCAGGACCGGGCGTGGGGTTGGCACTGGTGGTAGAGGACTGCAGGTGCTCACAGCCAGCGTCCAGCCAGAACCCATGGAAAACAGGGTCTTTGGCAGAGAGGACAGTGGAAGGAAGTTGTCCCAAACCTGGAGAACCCTTTGGCTCTCTGATGATGTGGACTGAGAGCAAGTAGCCTGGCCAGCTCTGGGAGAGGTGTGACCTCACTGCCCCAGCAGATAGCAGCAGGGTGGGTGCCAGCCAACCCCAAGCTGGAGCCTGGGTATTGGGTAGTGAACTTTCTTGCCCTCCTCTAATAGAGGGAGGGATATGGGGCAGTCCTTCCCAGCTACTTATGTATGCCCCCACCCTGTCAGCCTTTTGGCTGAGACTCACCCCTTATTGCTCAGTTCTTTGGAGCCAGGGAGAAGCTGCTACCCTGCTTGGGGCCTCAGGATGGTTCTCAGGAGGGCAGGTCTGCTACAATTCTGGGTCTGCGTCCTGAGGTTACTACCAATGACTTGTCATTACTTAGCCACTATTCTCTATAAAATGGAGGTGACAGGACTAGAAAAGGCTGCTGTGATAACTAGGGACCAGGAGGGGATTTTGGCAAGGATTGGTGAGGAACTTGTGTCAGCTTGCCTGGGAATCTGTGAGAAATGCAGATACTCGGGCCCTTCCTAGATTCCTGATGGATTTGGATACATACTTCAGTGGGAGAAACTGCAGCAAGAAATAACCTTTGGCAGTGGGGTTCTTGCCTCTTCCCTTGGTGCAGGTTCTACCTGGGCTACTGGTACTGCCAGAGCAAGTGAGTGACAAGCTCTGGGTGGGTGAGGAGTTGGGGGAGCCAGCCTGGGGCAGGCTAGGCAGGAACCTTAGGCACAGCACCAAGGTGTGGGTTAAGGTGGGCTTTGAGACATGGACTCCCTGCTTGCAAGCAGGGGGCTCCTCCTTGCACCAGAAAGTGTGGCAAAGCCAGACAGAGGGCTTGACCCCTGATATGGAAAAGGAGGTTGCCCTAAAAGAAGGCTGGCACTGAGTAGCTACAGAGCAAGGCCACAAGGCAGCAAGAAGGAGTGAGCCAGGGGCCAAGCACAGTGTGAGTGGACAGCCTTCAGGGGATTCTCAACCCTGGCTACCTCTTAGGCACAGGCAGAGGAGCCTGGGCATTGCCTTGACTCCTACCAGAGGCTGCCAGCCTCACCCTACTCAAACTGCTCTTGGGGCAGGAGATGGGAGAATATGCAGCCTTCTCCCCCATCTGAGTGTCCAGAGCTGAGCAGAACATGGCTCTGGCTAGGAGACAGAACCTGATGGCAGGGCCTGAGGGAGGAGAACCCTTCCACCCCTATGCCTGGCATCTCTGGGTTTGAATTGGGCCTCGAAGGTGGGGGCATGGAGCGCCATTTCCTGAGAAGAGCTCAGTCTGGTTTGTCTCAGTTCAGGGTGGCAGGCTGGAGGAGCTGTTCCTTCAGGGGTAGGGGATGATGGAAACGGGATTCACAGCAGGGCTTGAGAACTAGGAACAGGTTACGGCAGGCCTATCGGTGCAGCTCCTTCTAAACTGGTATCAGAGCCTGTAGATGAGTCCTGAGAGGAGCGGCCCTGCAGGAAGCGGATGATCTTCTCAATGGTGGCCTCCTGGTACTCATGGGACCATCTGTGGGCACAGAGGCCAACTGGGTCAGAGGCCGCCATGGACCAGGGTCATTTATTTCACCAGGTGCTGCATACACACAGGCATGCACACGCCCAACTCCCCACTACCCTGTATCCCCAAGGACCAGGGCTCACTTGATGCCATTGAAGGTGAGTACAGCCTGCATATCCTCAGGCAGTGCTTGGGGTTCAGGCCATTCGAAGCCATCAATGATGGGCACAATGTTCTTGCCACAGCTTAAAGCAGTCACAATCTCCTGGAGAAAGAAGAGGAGGAGGAAGAGAACTGTTAGAAAGTTTGGGTCTTAAATGACCCCCCCCAAAAAAAAACTCATGTCTTGAAGGCTTGGTCCCAAGCTGATGGTACTGTTGGGAGGTGGTGGAAACTAGGAGGTAGGGCCTAGTTGGATAAGTAGGTCATTAGGGGGTCCCATGAGGGATATAGTGGGACCCTGGCCCCTTCCTTGCTCGGTGCCTCCTGGCCACCATGAAGTGAGTCGTTTCTTGCACCACGTACTTCTCTGTTGGTGTTCTCTTTGAAAACTTTTAATTGAATTTTATGTGTATATAAGTGTTTTGCCTGCCTGTAAATGCACCACATATGTCCAATGCTGGAAGAGGCCAGAAGATGGCATCGTATCTGGTGGAACTAGAGTTACAGATGGTCGTTAGCCACCATGTAAGTGCTGGAAACTGAACCTGGGTCCTCTGCAAGAGCATCAGTGCTCTTAATTGCTGAGCCATCTCTCCAGTACCCCACCCCCCACCCCCCATGGTGTTCTACTTCACAGCAGGACCCAAGGCAACAGGGCCAAGTGGCCATGAACTGAAACCTTGGAAACCATCAGCCCAAATAAATCTTCCTTCCTTTTAAATTGACTTTCTTAGGTATGCTGCCACAGTGATAGAAATCTGACAAATACAAGATCCCATCCCCATCCAGGAATCCTGGGGCCATAGGAGCGCCCCTAGCCTGGGGCTGAGTGAGGGGCAAGACATGGTCCTGGAGTTCACCTTCACCTCTCTCTCAGCTCTCATGGTGTAAGAAATTTTAGTCTTTATCCTAGGACAGGCTGGCTAGAGCTCCTAAAACCACAGTCTCCTGGGTGTATTTTACCATTGTGATGATTCTTAACCAGAGGCAGGGTAAGAGGAAGTGGTCTAGAGAGCTTCTGATGAGGGCTGGCCACCAGAAAGGTCAACTGTGGTGTGAGGCTTGGGACTTTCAAGGCCCACCCACGTCACAGGAGGGCTAAAGAATGAGTTCAGTTTCCAGTGACCATCAATTTCATCCTTCATGCCTGTGTCTTAACACCTCCATAAAATTCTCTCAATATGAGTCTGAAGAACTTCCAGGTTGGTAAAGACGTCAGGGAGGTGGGGCCCAGGAGGTGCACTCAAGCCCCACCATTTCAGAGGTGCACTTTTTATTTTATTGATTGATTGTGTGTGTGTGTGTGTGTGTGTGTGTGTAGGCCAGAGGATAGCAATGGGCCGTCCACTGTTTTTCTTTTTTTCTACGGGGTCTCTCACTGGCCTGGAACTCATCAAGTAGACCAGGGATCTGCCTGTCTGGAAAAATCTAATCATGTCACTTCCCATTTAGAACTCTTCAATACTTGACATGACCCCTTAGATTAAAGTCTCATATTCTTAGCCAGGAGTGGTGGTGCATGCCTGTAGTCCCAGCACTTGAGAGGCAGAGGCAGGCGGATCTCTGTGAGTTCAAGGCCAGCCTGGTCTACTTAGTGAGTTCCAGGCCAGCTGGGAGACCCTGTCTCAAAAAGACAATAAATAAAGTCTCATATTCTTTTTTATTTTTTGGTCTTTTTGAAGCAGGGTCTCCCTGTAGCCCCAGCTGTCCTGGAACTCACTATGTAGACCAGGCTGGCTTGAATTCACAGATAATCTGCCTGCCTCTGCCTCCCAAGTGCTGGGACTCCAGGCATGTGCCACCACGCCGGGCTGAGTCTCATATTCTTAATGTGGCCTGCAAGGCCCAGTATGATTGGCCACAGCCCACTTCTCAAACGCCACCCCTGCAATGTCCTCTTAGCCACAGAGATCTTGCAGAGCCTTCCATTTGCCATCTTCTTACCCTGCACAGGACCGTTGCACATTCTGTGTCCTCTGCCTAGAACATGCTTCCCTGCTCTCTCACCTACATCCACTCAACTTTTAGGTCTGAGTTCAATCAGCACTTCCTCAGGGAACCTACCTTCACATCCCCGACCAAGTCAGATCCCCCATGACAGACTCCTATAGGCTCTGCTGCCCATGGAACAGTAGCAAATATAAATCAATTCACGGGTAATTTACTTGGGTAAGACTGAATGGAGAGATAAACGAAGCAATACACAATAGCAGTTAGGGGCTAAATTCTGAAATAATCGGTTCTGGGCTCACACTGAGTGTTATTGTTGATTTTTATTGTCAACTTCATTGGATTAAAAAACACCTAGTGGGGCAGAGGATGGCTCAGTAGGTAAAGGTACTTGCTGCCGAGCCTGATTACCTGAGTTCAACCCCCAGGACCCACACCGTGGAAGGCAAGAACAGACTCTCCTGGGTTTTCCTCCAACCTCCACACTGTGCCATGACACATGTAAGCATGTGTACCTATACACACACACACACACACACACACACACACACACACACACGTGGGTAAATAAATAATAAATGTAATTTTAAAAAATGTAAACACCCAGGACATTAGTGGTGAGGCACATACCATTGGGTGTGTCTGTGAAGGTGTTTCTGGATTAACTGAGGGGGAAGAACTACCCTGAATATAATGTGGGTGGCACCGTTCCATGAGCTGGGGTCCCAGACAGAATATAAAGGGAAAAGGAGAGAGCCAGCTGAATACCAGGTTTCCCCTTTCGCTGCTTCCTGATCCACAGAGATGTGAGTGAGCAGCCCCCAGCTGCCACCTACAGGAGCTGATCTTCCTGGGACCTTCCCTGCGATGGTGAACTGTACCCCTTGAATCATGAGCCACAATAAACTTTTCCTCCCTCAAGTTGCTTCTTCTCCAGTATTTGGTTACAACATTGAAGAAAGTAACTAATACACTGAGTCTCTGACATGGGCTCTGACCTGAGGTAAAAAAAATGGGTTCTTAAAGTCTGTTTTTTAATTTGGAGACGAGTTAATGACAGTCCTGATCTTACAGAATTGTTGTGCTTAGAATAATGGCAACATTCCATGGGAAGTGATTAGAGCAGTGCTCAGCACTGAAATAGAGTATGTTTAAGAAGGAATAGTTTCAGTGGGATGTGGTGGAGAGGGTCATAATTCCAGCACTAAGGAAGCTGGGGCAGGAGGATTGTGGGTTTGGCACCAGCCTGGGCTATGTATACATAGTGATCCCTATCTCCAAAAAGAAAAAAAAAAAAAAAAAAAGGAAATTATGGGCTCTTCCTATTCTTCCTATGTAAAGTGCAGAGGATAAAGCCTGTCTCATCTGGCTGTTCTGAGGAACTTTTTACTATTAATGGTGCTCTGGTAAGTACTTACCAAATGTTTTTTGCCTTTAACGGGAACCACAAGGGATGGGACTTTCTTAAGTGCAGTTCACTTGTAGGTTTACATATTGATTAGCCACTAAATGTGGCTTCCAGGAAGGGAATATGAAAACCAGAGGCAATTAGGCACTGCAAACAACCATAGAGAATGACAGAGTCTTTGGGGAAAATCCAAGGCACAGGCTGCCTGGTGGGTGGGGAGGGAGTGGAGTCTGTAGGAGAGAACCTGTGTAACTTCCACCCACACTGGCCTCCTGGAGCCTCTTAGTCTTACAGATAAAGAGAAGGAAAGCCAGAGAGAGGAAGGGGCTTCTCCCCAAGTCCGTCAAATGTGCAGCCCAGGAGTGGCCAGGCTCCAGGTTAAGCCTTCACAGACCAAGTCTAGCCAGGGCCGTGTGAATCCTGGCCCTGCCACTTACTGAGGGAACTCTGAGATATTCGCTTCATCCAGAATTACACAGAACCAAAGATAGTAAGCAGCTCATTGCATGTACTCATAGCCTGGCCAATAAAGGGATAAAAGCAGGGTTTGGATGTAGCTTGGGAGTAGACTGCTTGACTTCCATGAACAAGGCCCTGGGTTCAATTCAGAGAGAGAGGTGGGGGAGAGAAGGAGGAAGGAGGGAGGGAGGGAGGGAGGTAGAGAGGGAAGAAAGGAAAGGAGAGAGAAGGGAAATAAAAGAATGGAAAAGTAAGTGATAAGCCTTTGAAGATTGCTCAGCTGGCTAAGAAAGAAAACTTGATTAAGATCAAATCTTCTGACCTGAATAATCCAGTATCAAATGGATTATGGATAATGTATCAGAGTCACTCATCATCTGTTCACTCATAGCTTCAGTTATTCTATAAACTTTTTGAAAGCCTCTTTTATTCCATGCACAGATTTAAGCTGTGGGGATACAGCAAGTCTGGCTCTCATGGAGCTTACAGATACTCCCTACTACCCCCAGAAGGCTACTGGCCACCAGCTCAGAGTCTTCAGTCACATTCCTCCAAGATGCCTTCCTGCTTCCAAGCCTCCTCCCCAATCCAGGCCCCAGATTCAGCCCTCCTGTGTGGTCTCTAGGGCTCAGCCCTCTTTCCCACCACCAGCCTATATGACACTCCATATTGGAGGGTTTCTCCTCACACCCACTGCCCTGGCATCTGCTCTGGTGTATGATAGTTAACATTGACCATCAACTTGACAGAATCTAGAATCACCTAGGAGACAAGCCTCTAGCCACATCTGTGAGGGATTATCCAGACTGGATTAGCTGAGATGGGAGGCTCCACCTTAAAAATGGGTGGCACCATTTCCTGGACTGCAAGAAAAGGAGGAAGCAGGCTGAGCACTAGCTTGCACCACTTTTTTCGTTCTGACTGCATCAAAATGTGCCCAGCTGTCTTAAGCTCCTGCTGCTTGACTTCCCTACCATGATGGACTGTGCCCTTGAACTGAAGATGCATTTGTCAGGCATTTTGTCATAGCAATGATACAAACAGCTAATATACTTGACATGGATTCTCTGCTTCCCCTAGCTTTAATGCAGGTCTTTTCCCACCTTTAGACACTCTACAACCCTGGCTCCAGAGTTCTTACCTAGTCAGTGGTGCCCTGGTGAATGTGTAGTAAGTTGCTCTCCATGGGGGAAAAACAATCCCAGCCAAACAACCATACAAGTAAACAAAAACCCTCAAGTCAAAATTTGCAATGGTTGCCAATTTCCTTGGAATAAATACACCCATTATGGCTGATTTCAAGACACCAACATGACACCCCTGATATGTTGAGAAGAGAGGCAGACAATCCTCTCCCATGTCAGCTGAATTCAACCCTGTGTCACCTGACCTCCCCTCATATGAGTGTAGCTCTGTGTCATGGAACAGAAGTAGCACAGAGTTCAAGCCCCACCCTTTCTGATTCAGTGGCACTACTACCATGAGAACATTATACTGCTTCTCTGAGCCTCATTTTCTTAATTTTGACATAGAGAAAGCAATTATCAGCAATACCTATGGATGTGAGGTACCTTTTTCATCCCCAAATTTAGTCCTCTGCTTATGCTGTTGCCTGTCTGGAATACCTTCTTTTACATTCATTTGCATTCTTAAAAAACATTTTATTTTTGCCAGGCATGGTGGTGCACGCCTGTAGTCCCAGCACTTGGGAGGCAGAGGCAGGTGGATCTCTGTGAGTTCAAGCCCAGCCTGGTCTACATAGTGAGTTCCAGGACAGCTGGGGCTACAGGGAGACCTGTCTCAAAAAGACAAAAAAAAAAAAAACGTTTTATTTTGATTATATGTATAGGAGGCATGCACACATCGGTGCAGGTGCCTGCAGAGGCCAGAAGAGGGTATCAGATCCGCCTAGAGCTGGAGTCATAGGCAGTTGTGAGCTGCTGGGTATGGGTGCTGGGAACCAAACTCTAATACCTTGCAAGAGCAGCAAGTGTTCTTTATCACTGTGCCTTCTCTCCAGCCCCTCAACTGCATTCTAAAGACCCTCTTGGGGCTGGAGAGTTGGCTCAGCGGTTAAGAGCACTGACTGCTCTTGCAGAGGACCTGGGTTGGATTCCCAGCACCTATATGGTGGCTACTAACTGTCCTTAACTCCAGTTCCAGGGGAATCCGACACCCTCTTCTGACGGCCACGGCATTGCACGACTTGGGTGCACTCACATACATGCGGGCAATACACTCACACACCTAAAATTAAAATTAAAAAAAAAGACCCATTCAAGCCCTGCCTCCTCCATGAACCCTTCCCTGGTCATTCCATCCCATGATGCTCAAATAAGAGGTTTGTCTACCTGGCTTAGCATTTATACTAGTCATTGTGGATATGTTCTTATGTTTTTTGTTTTGGTTTGGTTTGTTTTAAAGATATTTTTGTCTATTTGTTTATTCTGAGACAAGATCTTACTATGTAGCCCCTGCAGGCCTACAACTCTTTAAAATCTACCTCCCTCTGCCTCTTGTCCAAGGCCAGAAATAGGATTCAAACTTACAGCTTTGTGCCCTTACCAGTGACTCTAGTTTTCTGTCACTATACTCTCCTGTCCTGCACAGAAGCTCATTTCTGGTTTTGTTTTGGAAGGTTTATTTTATTTTATTGGTTTTTGAGACAGAGTCTGATTATGTAGCCCCAGCTTGTCCAGAATTTGGTATGTAGACCTGACTGGTCTTAAACTTAAAGTGATCCTCCTGCCTCTGCCTCCCAAGTACTGGGATTACAGGTATGCACCACCATGCTCAGCTCACAGGGATTTTTTTTTTCCCAAGCCCTTTATTTCTCCTTGACCTATGGATAATTCTACAAGTAAATAGCACAAGTTATCCCCACTTTGTAGACAGGAAAACTGAGGCTCAGAGAACCTATGTGGTTTGCTAAACTCCTAGCCCAGTCAGAGCAGTGGTTCCTCACTTCCATCTGGACCACAGGGATGCTCTGGGGTGGAATGTGGCTGAGTATGCAGAAAAGAAAGGATGAAAGGAAGACCCTGTCCCCTTCACCCTGGGCAATGGCTGCACCGCAGAGGCCCAGGCCGGCACCCACCTTGTGCACCCAGTCCTTGCAGTCATGGTCTTGCATGCACTTGTCCAGTGCCCCAGCAGACAACACCAGAACAAAGTTGCGGGCTGCCATGACACTCTGGATGAGCTTGTCCTCGAACTTGCCAGCTTCCAGCTTCTCCACATCGATGAAGACACTGAAGCCATGCAGCTGCAGGTGCACCTTCAGGAGGCTGCAGAAGACCCCAGGGTCATTGCCACAGCCTCGCCCAATGCTCCAGACCACCTGCACCCCTCCTCACCTGGCCAGTTGGGAGCCCGAGTTCCTGCGGTAGCTGATAAAGACATCTGGAGTGTCCCCGCTGGGCTTGCCACCAGTACAGGGCAGCGGCGAGTGTAGCATTTCTGATGCCAAGGAGAGAGACAGCAAGGTAAGGGTGGCCCCGCCTCACCATTCATCATGAGGTACAGCAGCACCTGGGACTTCTCAGCTCAGTCTGGGCAAGGTGACTTGCTCAAGAAAGAGTCACTGAGATGGAGAGGTGGGGCCCATCAGAAAGAAAACCATCACCTCAGTGAGGCTTCAGAGGGCAGGCACTGCACTTCTGTGACACTGTTGTGAATCTCTAGCTTTGCATTATTTCTGGAACTGCAGACCTGTACAGCCAGTTGCCTGCAAGCACTCCAAACTCAGCCCAGTGCTTGGGATACTGCAATAAACAAAGCAGGCCAAACTGCCTCGTGGAGCTGCTGTACAGGGCTCAGCCCCAAGCACCTTGCTGTGTGGATTCTCCCTTCTATCACCCAACATCTGGGATCTGGCCCCAGGGTCCTCCCTATTGCAGTCTCCAACAGCAGCCTCCTCAATGGGCTCCGCAAATCTATTAAGGATTATCCTTCTTAATTCATGTGCCACACCCCCAGAGGGTGCTTCCTAAAATCCCTCTTTGAGTATATCATTGCCCCTATTTTAAAAACTGCATGAACTGGCTATATGGCTCAGCAAGTAAAGGCAGTTGCCACCAAGTCTGACAACTTGAGTTCAGTCCCAGGGATCCATGTGAGAAGGACAGAATCAACTCAGGAAAGCTGTCCTCTGACCTCTACACATGCTGTGGCATGCACGTAACTACACATATATACACATAGAAATAAATGTAATAAAGTATAAAATAATAAAATACAAAATGGTGCATGGCCAGGGACTGTGCTCAGTAGTAGAGCATTTGCCTGACACGTGCAAGGCCACTGGTTTGACCTCAATGCTACAAAACATGATAACAAGAAAACATGAAAATTTGAAGCTGGGCATAATGGCTTATGCCTGCAACCCTGGTACTGGGGGAGGGAGGAGGGGGAGGGAAGGCGGATCCCCTCATTGGCCAGCCAGTCTAGCCAACTGGTAAGGTCTGGGTTCAGTGAGAGATCCCAATCTCAAAGTGTAAGATGAAGAGCAATAGAGGATGACACCCTGACATTGACCTCTGACCTCCATCCATATGCATGAACATACATGACACATATATACATGCAAACATACCACACACATACTATACACATCCACACACAAACAAAACAAAACAAAAATGGAGATTGCATGGCTCCTTATTCCCCAGAGTAACCATTATTTTTACCCTAGAACCTTCCAGGTTTTTAAGAAAATGAAATCTTAAACTGGGTGTGGTGGTAGGGGCCTTTAATCCCAGCACTCGAGAGGCAAAGGTGGTGAGCTAGAGGCCAGCTTGGTCTACATAGCAAGTTCCAGGCTACTTAGTGAGATGCTGTCTCAAAACAAACAAACAAATAAACAAAGACCTAAAAATAAAAGAAAAAGAAAAAGAGTTCCATTGGGAGCTGCAAGGTGAAATGGATAAAAGCTGACCTGCTTTTTTTGAAGCAAAAGAATGGTGCCACAGCCCAGTCCCTGTGCCATGTAGGTGCTTAGTATGTACTTGCTGAATGGATGGATAAAATGAAATGAATTCATCTTTAATAATATTCATACTTAATTAACACCCACAAACATTTATCTGTTTATGATGTAGAAAAATGGGCTCAAATCCCAGTTGTCATTTAATGGCTTTTATAATCTTGGGAAATGTATCTAACCTCTTTAAAGTTTAGTTTTATTATCTCTAATACTAAAATCTATGCTGGAAAATATTCAATTATATAAGGATGTATGCTTTTCAGAACTCCTCAAGTTGGACACTGTTAATGTTTATTTTTCAAGTTTAAGAGCTTCTTCTTTAAAATAAATTTTTAATTAAAAATTTTTTGATTTATTTCATTTTATGCACATGAGTATTTTGCTTGCCTGTATGTAAATGCACCCATGTCATGCAATGCTTTCGGAGGCCAGAGAAGGCATTGGATTCCCTGAAACTGGAGTTTTGGAGTGTTGTTAGTCACCATGTGGGTGCTGGGAACTGAACCCAGGTCCTCTGCAAGAGCAGCCAGTGCTCTTACCTGCTGAGCCATCTCTCCAGTCCCTGTAATTTTTGATTTATTTATTTTTTATTTGTATAAGTGTTTTGCCTGCATATATGTAAGTGCACCTGGTCATGCAATGCTCATGGAGCCCAGAAGAGGGTGATGGATTCCTTGGAACTGGAGTTATGGATGGGTGTTAGCTTCCATGTGAGTGCTGGGAAACAAATCCAGGTCCTCTGCAAGAGCATCCAATGCTTTTAACACTAAGCCATCTTTCTAGGCCCTAAAATAAATGTTTTATTACATTTATAGAGGTCAGAAGACAATTTGTGGGGGTCGGTTCTCTCCTTCCCCCTTGTGGGTCCCAGGACCACATAACTCAGGTCATCAAGCTTGGCAACAAATGGTTTTACTGTCTTAGACATCTCACCAACCCTAAGAACCTGTTTGTAGTCTCTGAAGGGTTTTAAATTGAACTCCCCAGTTGATGGATTCTGGGGTGGGAGAATCAGTTTTGTTTAACTATGTGTCTCCTGGTAAGTCGACCCCACTCCAATGAATAACTCTACAATGAGAAGTATATGGACAGCACGAACTGGAGTCAATAGTTGTTAAAGGAGAGCAGGTGAGAGAGAGAGAGAGAGAGAGAGAGAGAGAGAGAGAGAGAGAGA